GAGTCGCGAGAGCTAATTTTTCTGGCTACAAGTCCTACTATTAGTGTGTGTTTGTCCAATGCTACAACTGGGCAGCCATTCATATCCACCCTTGAGCTCAGACAATTTAATGGTTCAGTTTACTCCACATCATTTGAAGATAATTTTTATCTTGGTGTCTCTGCAAGGATCAACTTTGGTGCAGATAGTGAAGATCCAGTCAGGTATGTCTGAATATCTGGTTGGAAGTGCTAAACTAGTGTACATTGCCAATTGCTTGTTTAGGTAGTGAACCCTCAGCATCAACAGAAATTAAGTTATTGATGTTCTGATGCTGGAGAATTGCGTTATTGTCACTGAAAGATTTGAGTTGGGGAAACTTTAGCAGCTATGAATCTATTCGTATTAAGTGAACTATTGTCATTCAAGCAATAGTTATTCATGGAAAAGTACATTAAAAATATAATTCTGTTTCAGGTATCCTGATGACCCATTTGATAGAATATGGGAATCTGATTCCTTGAAAGAAAATTACCTTGTTGACGTTGCTCCTGGGACTAAGAAAATTTCAACCAATATGCCAATAGATGTTACCAGTGGTGAGGAGTTGCCACCTCAAAAAGTGATGCAGACTGCTGTGGTTGGTACAAATGGATCATTAACTTATCGACTGAACTTGCATGGTTTTCCTGGTCATGGCTGGGCATACTGCTACCGTGCAGAAATCGAAGATTTAGCTGCTAATGAGTCCAGAAAATTCAGGGTGCTCCTACCAGGCAACCCGGATGTCAGCAAACTTGTAGTGAATATCCTAGAAAATGCTCAACGAAAATATAAAGTTTATGAACCAGGGTTTCCCAACCTAAGCTTTCCCCTTGTCACACCATTTAAATTCAAAATGACTTCTGATTCTACCAGGGGACCACTTTTGAATGCCGCGGAGATAAATAAGTATGTGGAGAAAAATGGTGGCTCCATTGATGGTAAGTATGGTAGCTGTTGCTTGAGTGCTCATAGACTATCTGTATGCACTCCTTAAAGCTAATATTTTCATAACTAACTGCTAAAGTGGCATACTGGTTATAATCTTGGGTTCCTGACATTGATTGAACTTTGGGAGTTCTGCTTATATCATATCTGAAACTTTCCATGAATTGCAGGAGAAGTTATTGGAAAGGTAACTTCACTCTACTCAGCAGACTGGGCACAAGAGGGTGGTGATCCATGTCTGCCAGTTCATTGGTCTTGGGTGCAGTGTAACTCAGATAAACAACCAAGGATAGTTTCCATGTAAAGGTTTATCCTTGAGGTTCTATATGATGCATATATAGAATTATTTCTTGTTTTAGTCACATATTACTTCAAAATCTCTAAGAAGAAACTCTGATATAATGATTACTTTTGTATCATCGGTGCTTTACAGCCTCTTATCAAGCAAGAACTTGACAGGGAATATTCCTTCTGACTTGACAAAGTTGAGCGGTTTAGTTGAGTTGTAAGCTCCAGACTGCATTATTCTTTTACTGGAGCTTTATGCACTTTCTGATGTTTGTTGAGTCATGGCGAACCATCTTCTTTTTATTTTTCTCCATTTCTTAGTCATCTTTTCTCTGCAGATGGCTAGATGGGAATTCGCTGACTGGTCCAATTCCTGATTTCAGTGCATGCATAAACTTGAAGATCATGTAAATACCAATGACTTACTTTTCAATTATGTTTTCTTATCGAATATTGGCTAGTAAAATCGCTGTCTGATACAGTCATCTTGAGAACAATCACTTGACGGGTGAGCTGCCTTCATATTTAACAAACCTACCGAACCTGAGGCTACTGTAAGTTATTCTAACTTGGATATTGGTTATTTTTGTTGCCCAACAGTTGAGATACAAGCTTAGGTGCAACACTTTCCAAATCTTAACCGAGTGAATATTTAAAATATATTTCTTAATCAGTGTTTGAATTTGGACCATTCTGTTAATCTGAATGGTTATTGGGTATATTTATTTCTGTTGAGTCAATTATTTGTGAATGGTTGCCATGCCACTTCCTAGGAATGATGTTATATACTTGATCCCTCTGGTGGTTGCAGGCATGTGCAAAATAATATGTTATCTGGGAAAGTACCATCAGGTCTTCTGAGTAAAGACTTGGATTTTGAGTAAGTATCATTCAGATCTTACCGTCTATGATATGTTAGTACATTTCCTAAAGATTGGTGGAAACTGGAAACTGTCATATTTACATCTTGAGTTCTGAAAATGCTGTGGAACTTCACTGGTTTAACTTGATAGTTGTCAGTTAAAGCATCCTAGACTGAATTTTCCACTTAAAAAATGATTTATCCTCTTCCTTCTCCTTACCACTCTTATGTTCTATTATGTTTGTCTCATGGTCTGGTATATTAAAATTGCCTTTCTGGTTCTCCATAGCTACTCTGGAAACATTAATCTTCACAAGGATGGTGGAAAAGGGAAGCGCACTAGAGTAATCATTGGTTCATCAGTTGGAGCTGCTGTTCTGCTCATAGCTACTCTTGTGTCTTTCATTCTTTTGTGCAAGGGGAAGAAAAGTCATGTGAAAGGTATTAGGTTGGATTTTTGAAGTGTTAACATACTGGACTATCTTAGTTGGCTCAATGTGAATAGTTTTTTTTTTTTTTTTTTTTTTTTTTTTTTCAGAACAAGTTCAGCATTCCTTGCCTGTTCATCGGGCAGTTTCCAGCTTGGGTGATGCTCCAGCAGAAGCAGCACATTGTTTTGCATTCTCAGAAATTGAAAATGCTACAAGTAACTTTGAGAAGAAAATAGGTTCTGGAGGTTTTGGAGTTGTATACTATGGAAAACTAAAAGATGGCAAGGAAATTGCTGTAAAGGTTCTTATCAGTAATTCCTTCCAAGGAAAGCGACAATTTACTAATGAGGTATCCAAACACTACAGCTGAAGTCCTTGCACTTTGAGTTACTTGAATTCATTTCTTGTTTCTCTCTATTGAGGTGGGGAAAGGGGTTCGACTTATTTATGCCTAACCAGTTGGCTTTTTTCTCTATGGCCATTAGAAACTGAAGATCTTGTGAAATTTTGACTTGTGGCATAGGTAACACTTCTTTCAAGGATACATCATAGAAACCTGGTGCAGTTTCATGGATATTGCCAAGAGGAAGGGAGAAATTTGCTTGTATATGAGTTCATGCACAATGGAACTCTCAAGGAACATCTCTTCGGTAACTTCATGTCTTCATCAATTTGGAAGCCAACTAAAATTTGGTACTCATCCCCCTTACTGCTGTACATAGGTTCATTAACACGTGAACGACATATCAGTTGGATAAAACGCCTGGAGATTGCTGAAGATGCTGCAAAAGGTTCATAAGCTAGAGGATAATAATAAATATGTTCTATTCTGTGCAGTTCTCATTTGTTCAAAAGCTGAAAATGTAATTCCTTCATTGTTGCACCCAGGGATTGAATACCTTCACACAGGCTGTGTTCCAGCCATTATCCATAGGGACTTGAAAACTAGCAACATTCTTCTTGACAAGCACATGAAAGCAAAGGTCTCAGATTTTGGTCTCTCAAAACTTGCAGTGGATGGAGTGTCACATGTATCAAGCATAGTTCGAGGCACTGCAGGATACCTTGATCCAGAGTATGCCCCTCTTCCCAAAACTTCACCATTTTGCCTAAATCAAGTTAAGCACCAATTCGCATTGTCCATGCTATTTACAATTTTATACACTCCTATGGTGTCCACTGCCCAGGTATTATATTTACCAGCAACTAACAGACAAGAGTGATGTCTATAGCTTTGGTGTCATTCTTCTGGAACTGATATCTGGTCAAGAAGCCATTTCTCATGAAAGCTTTGGTGCTAATTGTCGTAACATTGTCCAATGGGTAAGTCCTCTAAGTTACTTAGAGCAGGATACTTGGAAACTCTCTGCTGATCCTTTTATGTCAACACACACACACACACACACTCCGACACAGCTTATGTTCCACAAACAATACTTCTGCTGAAAGTCGTTCTTGTAATTGCATGGATATACCTTGATGTATCTAAAATTGCCTTGAATGATTGTATGACAGGCAGAGTTGCACATTGAGAGTGGGGACATTCAGGGAATTATCGATCCCTCCCTACAGAATGAATACGACATCCAGTCAGTGCGGAAGATTGCCCAGAAAGCTCTGATGTGTGTGCAGCCTCACGGACACATGAGACCATCCATTTCTGAAGTTCTCAAGGAGATTCAAGATGCAATCTTAATTGAAAAAAAAGCCTTGGCCGTGGGAGAAGGTACCTCAGATGAGATGTCAAGTCACCCTATGAATTCTTCCCTTAACGTCAGTTCCCCGGATTTCGTTCTAAAGAGAGACATAAGCATGTGAATCTTGGGGTTCCGGATTCCTTAGTTTCAGTTCTACTCTTGATTCAACCTCATGGCCCATCTAGCACATGCTTATCTTCAATGAAAATATTGATCATGATACACATTCAGTAATGATGTTTGAATTTCGAATATGCTACACGCACAACGTTTCTTACACAGTGTCATGCACAATAGAAGTTATAGAACGGGCGATAAAAATGATTGTTTACAAAATATTACGTGCTGTCTATTAATATGGTACATAAAC